TAGTCGGTATACACGTTCGGCATTTCTAGATATTTAGAAAAATGTCTCTCTGGGTCCTTTGTTCATTTATAAGTCAGATATTTGTTTTTCACTTCTAAACCCTTTGAGTTACTTCTAATTTGGAAATTAACCCCTTTTCAGACACATGGCTCACAAACATTCTGGTTTAGTGTGCAGCAGCATTTTAGTTTAATGCATCCAACTTGACTCTTGTTCGTCTTGCTGCCTGAGCTTCCACTCTTCACCTCCTATTTATCAGGAAGACTGATGATTCCTAAATACAGCCAATGAGAGCTGCAAGAACAAGGAGGTAAGAAGATCACTTGGAGTATCATTTATAATTTGGACGTGTTGAAAAACCTTTTTTTAGTTAGGGCCGCCTAACAAAACAATGCCTGAAAACGGCTTGCTTTTTTGAGTTTAAAGCTACACATCTATCTACATATGTATCAGGTTGTAAAGCTGCAGCTTGGAAGGATCCAGCCAGCCAAAGGAAGTGCCTTTGCTCTAAAGGCTGTTTTGGCCATTGTTTCGGAAAGTGCTAGACCAGCTTTGCGTCTTTCATGAAAGATCATTTTCAGCGGTGACTTCAGTTTTAATTTAAAACACAGAGGGCAACTCAGTGTAGATTTGGCTCAGTTGCTTGCTAATCTTTAAAATAGCTTCCTCCTGCTTTCCATGATACTTGACAATACTAGTAGAGAGGAGAAATGACTGTAAGGGTTTTGTTGATGGGCCCTGGCTAGGAGAAGCCTATCATTTTGAGTCAGCTGCTGAGAAGTGGAATATGGGGCACCACATGCTTCCCAGTCACCCCCAACCTCTTGCTGGAGTGTGACATGGGGTATGTGGCCATACACCTCCCCCTCACCTCTGCCAGGCCTGCCCTCACTTCAAATCTTAACCCCAGCAGCATCTTTTTCTTAGCATATGTTGATAGTTTGGAACAAGTACATTCACTGTGACAAGTTTGTAAAAGAACACCACACATGTTAATTTGCAAAAAGATCTTTTTGTTTCTGTTTGTTGACCCTTCATTTTGCTCTCTGCATAGTACTGAATCCTGGATTTCTTGTACGACAAACAGCGAGATGTAAGCTTGTGTGCTTGATTTATTTCATTTAGCATGGTCTAAGGGTGCAGCCATATTCCGGCTGATGACTAAAGCTTATCTTTCTCTATGGCAGAGTGGCACTCATTGCATGAAAATCACACATTTTTTCCTCCATTCATCTGTTCATGGACATATCGGCTGCTTCCACAAGTTAGCCTTATGAATTATGGTGCCATAAACTTGGGTATGCACCCATCACTTCTATGTTAGCCTGAAGGGGAACGATGGTCAAAGGGAATTTCTACTTTCAGTTTCTGGAGGAATCTCCATACTGACTTCCATAGTACTGGTACCAGTTTACATTCCTACTGACAGTGTTGTAGGGCTGTTTTTTCCCTGCGCCTCACCAGCACTTGTTAGTATTTGATTTCTCCCTGGGGTAAGACGGATTCTCAGGTTAATTTTCATTTCTCGAGTGTCCAGATATGTGGAACATTTTTTCATATTATTTATTGCCAAGTTTTACTTCTTCTGAGAAGCATCTAAGAGGCCTCAAGCCACTTATATAAAACTGCTATTTGTGACACTTTCTACTGCTTTTCACTGCTTTATTTTCTCCTTTGCAATCCAAAACAGAAGGTAGTAGGTATCTTGCTTCTTTGTCCACACGTTTTTCTTTCTAGAATAAAAGTTCCATTTTGGCAGAGACTTTGGGCTTTTAGGCATTTAATAAACACAAGTGTGCGGGGGCCTCTTACCTTCCAGGGCCTCATCCATTTTAGGGAGCCTTCTCTGATTCTTCCTAGTTACTCAACTCTTGTGTGTTTCTGTAGAATTCTGCTCTGGACAAAAGTAACCTCATGTCACTTGCCATGAAGGTTCTCATTCTCCTTCTGGAATCTACAGCTTCCAGTTTTTAGAGGTAACGGGATCAAATAGCTTCTAGACACACATTCAGAAACTCAACTACATTTCTTCGAGTGAGGGAGATTTCACCAACAGCAGGCAATGTGACGACAATGGGATTTTAGTAAACTGCCACTTCCGTGATCCAAGAAGATGAGATTCAAAGAGAAGAAAACCCAACCAAGCTGGTTTAGCTTTAGTTAGGCTGCATCACAGCGCGTCAAGCCTCCTATGCCGCCCCAATCCAACCCAAAGGGAGTTTTATCACCAGCACCGGCTGATCTGCCTAAGTGGGATGTGGAGTATGTTTAGGAGAGGAGGAACTAAAAGCTATAAGCTCAAACAATTGGAAACATTTTTGCCTGGGAAACAAGGGGACATGATAGATGTCTTCAGATATCTGAAGTGCTGTCACATTGGTGAGAAACTGTTCCTTCTTGTGGTCTTAAGGAAAGTTGAAATTACAGGGAAATCTATTTGATTTGAAAAAAGGAGAGCCTTCTTGGACTTGCGGGAGTGACCCAGGCTAGGGTGGTCCCTGAGTTCTGATGCAGCCCGCAGTGCTGAGATGGAAGTGGTTCAGAACTGTGCTCCGTAAGTGCCACATCTCCTGTCTCTGGGGACCCTGCCCCTTGGCAGAGTTGTTCTCGTGCAGCCTGCGTCCCTCCCGCCACCCAGCCTTTGTGGTGTCTGTTGCTCTTTGCTTAATGCGCCTGGCGCTTGCTCTGTGCTTAGAAACCTTTGCTGCTCACTATTCCCATTTATCTGACTGTCATACATCCTGCGGTTGCAGGAAGCGTGCAAGTACTGGCTTTGCACAGGGAGGAGCTTATGCAGTCCACCTTCATTTCATCGTGGGCTCTGTCAGCTCTGCCACCCTGGACGTGCACATGGCAGGTGAATGAATGTGACTGATAAGAGACCACACTTCAGGATTGCACTGGGAAAATAGTGTTCTAATATGCTGACTGAAGGGACTTGGTTAAATCTGGTGCAAAACAAGGGAATTCTGCAAGTCCGCACCATTCTCGTGGAGAACTCTACAGGGGGAGGCCCGTGGAAGGTCCGTTCCAGAATACGTAACACGCTGTCCATGCTGTTGTTCTCTCTCTTCCTCCTGTACTATCTCTTGCTCGCCAGTACATGAAGCAGAGTATCTGTGAAGAGCCAGCACCAGCGACCCACAGCACCACTGCCACCAGCCATTTAAGGTTGCGGTTAGCTCTTAAACACCTGGGACTGCTTTCTTTTTTTTTTTTTTTTTTTTT